ATGATTATCATTATTATTATTATGATTATCATTATTATTATTATCATTATCATTATTATTATCATCATATTACAGTTATTATTATTGTTATTATGATTATCATTATTACTTAATATTGTTTTTATCATTATTATTATCATTATCAATACTAATTATTTTTATCCTTATTATTATTATTACTATTATTATTATTATTGTTATTATCATTACCATTATTATTACTAATTATTATCATTATATTATTATTATTATTATCATTATTAGTATTATTAATATTATTATCATTATTATTAGTAGTAGTATTATCATTATTATCATTATTATTATTACTATTATTATCATTAATATTGTTATTATTACTATTATCATTATTATTAGTGGTAGTAGTATTCATTATCATTATTATTATTATAATCATTATTATTAGTAGTAACTGTTTTCATTATTATTATTAGCATTTTTATCATTACTATTATTATTATTTTCATTATTATTATGAATTATTAATATTATTATCAATGACTAGCATTATCAATATAATTATTATCATTTCAATAACAGATGATCTGAATCATCATCATAAACTTTTCCATTTCACTTTAGAAAATAATTTTACTAATGTTCTTATTCACAAACATTAACACAATATTTACCATCCATATTAAAGGTCTTCTCAGTGATGCAATTGCCATTATTATCACCAATATCATTTGTATTATTATGATTTCAATTATCCTCATGATTATTATTATTCTTACTATAGACAATTCAGTTGATAATGCTATCAGGATTAATATTGTAATCACTAGCACCATAACTCTTACCATTATTATCATTTTTATTTTCATAATTTTTATGGCCATTATTTTTATTTCTATATTCATAATAACTATAAGTGATGAGTCATAATCTTTATTGTTTAATGCTTTTTTTCATTATATGATAAATGTATTGTATAATATGTGTGTGTGTATGTATATATATGTGTGTGTGTGTGTGCGCTTTTTCATGGTATAATAATGTGTCTGTGCGTGTGCGTGTGCGTGTGTGTCGGTATATATATACATATATATATAAATATATGTATAAATACATATATATATATATATATTTATATAAATACATATATATATATTTATATAAATACATATATATATCTACACATTTGTGTGTAAATTTGTATACATATACATGTATAAACATATATGTATGCATATGTACGTATATATATTCACACATAGAGATGTGTATATATATATATTTACACGCACACACACAAAAATTGATGCCTACATATATATACATATATAGGCGTAGGAGCCAGGGGGGCTGGGGGGGCTGCAGCCCCCCCAGTCGGGTAAATGCTGGTTGAATTCGGGCAATTTTTGGCAATGGGCATAGAAATTGGAAATTATCCATTTTGCAAAAAAAATATTGGTTATATTAATGTAACATAGATACTTTAAGAAGGTGATTTAAAGAAACAGATAACTTTTCTGGGGCCTTTCAACTGTGCGAAAAAGTAGTGTTTCCTTTTTATCGGTATTTAATATAGACAGGACCCCGTGGCCCGTTCCCCTCTATCTACGCCACTGGTGGCATTCGTCACAAATTTCCTGACAGGTGAAATTTCTCTTCCTCTTTCACTAGGGCAAAAAAATTTGCAACCCCCCCCCTAAATTTTACGCCAATGCATACATATGTGTATATATATAAATATATAAATTTGTGTATGTGTATATATACATATATTGTAATATATGAATATATACAAATATATGAACTGAATATTTTTAAGTGTATGTATATATGTATATATGGATATATGTGTATGCATATATGTATATATGTATGTATACAAATTTGTATATATATGCATGTGCATATAATATATATACACATATATATACATATATATATACATCTATATAATATATATATATATATATATACAAATATATACATATACATATGCATGATCTTTATGTATGTATGTATATGTGTGTATATAATACATACACACACATTCATATATACATATATATTTATATATATATATATAGAGAGAGAGAGAAATATAATATAGTTATATACATATAAATATATATATATATATATATATATATATATATATATGAATGTGTGTGTGCGTGTTTGTGCGTGTGTGTATATATGTATATACATTAATGTTTAGACATACGTATTTATATGTATATGTTTATGTATATATATATATATGAATGTGTATATATGCAATATACATAATATATATAACATATATTATATATAATATATATATAGCATATATAATATATATATAATATATATATAGCATATATAATATATATATAGCATATATAATATATATATAGCATATATAATATATATTATATATATAATATATATATAGCATATATATAATATATATAGCATATATAATATATATATGTATATAATATATATAATATATACTATATATATTCTATGTATATATATATCATACATATATTCATATCCAGTATGAGTAGATAAAGATGGTCCTTTACCTTTCCCAAGTAAAAAAATCTTGCATAATATGTATTTACCGTAAAATAAAAAGCAAATAAAGCCATGGCAAGTGAATTCATTTCCTTCCATTATCACCACCTCCTCTGAGGCTTACGGCATCTTCAAGGCGCCTGGGAATGCCGATGGCCAACCTTTCGAGGTCAGTCTTTGTTAATATCCCTCCAGTGCTGCCGGCAGACATTTAAACAGAAGACCAAAATAGAAATGTATGTCTAGACAGCATGCAAATATTTTCAGCCCCCTTTTCTAAACGGCTTTATTTATTTAAACTAAACCACCACCCCATTCGGCCAAGGTGCTGCAAATCCTTTAATTGCATAGTTGAATTTCATAATGTTATTATTTCATAACAGGAAGAGATTATTAATCTCTCATTTTTATTATATTAATGATTATTATGTTCATTATTTCATAGAATTATTATTGTTAATTATCAGTTAATAATATTTTTAAAATCGTGATAATTAATAATTTATATAATTAATAGAAATTAAATAATAATCCCATGAAATGATAACTAACAATCATAATCCTGTAATCCTTGTTTTAAATACAGGCTATAATAATTATGCATTTTCTTTTTTCTTTTCTTTATTCACTAATGGAGGATGTAAGTACAATTCCTTATAAGTAAACCTCTCTGATTTCTCCTTTTTTTAATAGTAAAGCGTTTAGGCCGGGCCATAGCCAAAGGCCCAGGCGAAGCTAGAACTTCGCAAATCACAATCGCAGTAAAGCGTATTGTAAAGTTTATTGTAATGTAAAGTGTATTGTATATAAATAAAATAGAGAAAGAGAGAGAATAAGAGAGGAAGAGTAGGGGGAGAGTGAGAGTGAGAGAATAAGAGAGGAAGAGACAGGGAGAGAGAGAGAGAGAATAAGAGAGGATGAGAGAGAAAGAGTCAAAGAGAGAGAGAGAGAGATGTATAAGAGATGAGATTAATAAATGAACAGGTATCTATAAACACCAGGGCCGCCAAGAGGGGGTGGGGGGTAGCCGGGGCCCGGGGTCCGGGCCATTTTGGGGGCCGAAAAAAATTGAAGTATAGTACAAACGGTGTACAATCTATTTTCCTCCAGTCCTCAGCGATGGTCAAATCTTCAAGAAAATATTGGATCCTCACTGCACTGCCTGTCAGGTACAAGATGGACTGATCGTGTTGCAAGTGTGCGACCATTCGCAGCTCAACTACCAGGAATACGCTCAGCTCTGGAGCAACTTCATGCACTGAATCTTACTCCTAAAACTGCCACTGAAGTTAATGTCCTCTTTTACTTGCATCCTCATATCTGCAATCTGGTTTAAGATTTTGGTAGCAATTTGAAATACATTTGAAACATTTTGTAACTTCTCAGCATTTAACATTAATTTTTTTCCGTTTTTACAATCCACTGGAAATAACATATAATCTCGTTTGAAAATTTTGAAAAATTAAAAAGGGGGCCCACATCTTTTAGTTGCCACGGGGCCTGGTCTAGCTCTCGGTGGCCCTGATAAACACACATTCATGTTCATATGTATATAAGATTAACAGTTCTACAGACTGATAGATGGATATCTATCTATGTATCTCTATATATCTATATGTCTATATATCTATATCTCTATATATATACATACACACACACACAGACATATATATATATATATTTATATATATATATATATATTTATTTATATATATCTATATATATATACATGCAGAGTTCTATAGAGTGATACATGGCTAGGCATCTATCAATCTTATTTATCTCTATGCATACCTATAAATACGTCTGTGAAATGAATATACTAAATCTCCCCTGACCTTTCCCTAAGAAAAGTGCCTTTCTTGTATAAATACAATGTGCTCTTGTTTTGCATACAGGCTATAATAATTTTGAATTTTCTTTTTTTTTTTTTATTCACCATTACAGGATGTAAGTATAATTCCTTATAAGTATTTCCCCTTTTTTAATAGTATGCATTTTTTTCTTTCATTGTGAAAGTGCTGTAGTTAAATGCATTATATAGTTAGTAAACCTCTTATAATAAGGCTTATAATAATGTTTATAATAATAATGCTTATAATGACAATAATGCTTATAATGATAATAATAATGTCTATAAAAATAATAATCATTATAATAATAATGATGATAATAATGCTTATAATAATAATCATTATTATTATTATCATGATAATAATAATTATTATTATTATAATAATAATTATTGTTATTATAATGATTATTATAATGATTATAATAATAATGCATATAATAACAATAATAATAATAATGCTTATAATTATAATACTACTACTAGTGATGATAATGCTTATAATAATAATAATGATTATAATAATATTAATAATAATGATTATAATAATAATAATGCTTATAATAATAATGCTTATAATGATAATAATAATGCTCATAATAACGCTTACCTTCAGACTGCTTATCGACCACACATGGGTGTCCTTGCACAGTAATGCAGCTTCGAGTCCAGGATTATCACAGTGCCAGCTTCCCTCTGCTTTTCCTCTACCCCTATAAGGAAGGAAAGGGAAAATGGTGATATCCGTCACGATGATTGTCATTCTAGTTGTCATGATTAAACGGCTATGACATAAGTTTTTGGGGAAGAAAATGTGCTCAATAATATATATATATAATTCTAAAGAGAGAGAAATCGCGTAAATGCGATGTCACTCGCTCATTTATTCCAATATTAATAGCCAGAATGTGTAATTATATAGATTATCATTCGCGTATTATTTTATTACTATTAATATTATTCGCTTATTACTATTATTATGATGTAATTATTATTATCATTCGCTTATTATTATTATTCGCTTATTATCATTATTATTATATTATTTGCTTATAATGATTTTATTATTATAATTATTATTCACCAGGACACGTCATCGTTGTGTTTCCGCGCAGTTGGCTCTCTTGGTCGACCTATGTGGCCTGAGAGAGAGCGAAAGAATATAGAACATCCAGTGACAAGGTTGTGCTGTACGATCCGTGAGACGTGGCTGGGAGAGCATTCGTTCCACTGGGGATGCTAAAAATATGCACAAGATCCTACTCCTGCCCTACCATGACAGGCATGGTATTACCACCTCAATATAGCCTATCATAGGACAAATACAGACATTGCAAAAGGACAAGCAAGCAACAAATGCTTAAGCGAGAAAAGGAAATATAATATTATAAATATACATATACATATATTCATATGTGTATATATTCATATATGTATATATTCATATATATATATATATATATATATATATATATATGTATTTATATATATTCATACATCTATTTACAAACACACACACACACACACACACACACATATATATATATATATATATATATATATATATATATATATATATATATTTGTATATGTATATTCAAATATATTTATATATGAATATATACATATATGTATATTTGTATATATATATATATATATATATATATAAATGTATATGTATATAATATTCATATATATATTTATGTATATATATATATATTTATATACGTATATATATATATATATATATATATATATATATATATATATATATTTATATATACATATATTTATGCATATACATATATATTTACAAATATATAATATATATATTTTTTCATACACACACACACATATATATATATTCAAATCTATATTTTTATTTATATTTATATATATTCATATAAACATGTATATATATATATATATATGTATATATTTATAAATATATGTTTTAATACACACACACATATATATATACATATATATACGTATATTCATATATATACTTCTATATATATATATTTGTGAATATATTTATATATATCTATCTATCTACATATTTATATATTTATCATTACATTTTATTGATTTTATATTTCATATAATTTATATATATATATATATATATATATATATATATATATATATATATATATATTTATATATACATGAATATATATATCTACATATATATATATATATCTATGTATATATTTATATACATATATCAATATCTATATATATACATATTTCTATATATTTATAAGTATATTTATCTCTGTATATTTATATATATATCTATATATATAAATGTATATATATATATATATATATATATATATATATATATATATATATATATATAATATATATATATATATACATTTATATAAATATTCAAATATGTATATTTATATATATGTATATATATAATTATATATACATAATATATATATACATTATACATACATTAATATATTTCTTTTAAATATATTTACACATATAGCATTTACATATTTCTTTTAAAAATATTTTTACATATATATAAATAAATATACATATTTCTATAAATATATACATTTATATATATATATATATATATATATATATATATATATTTATATATACATATATATATATATATATATATATATATATATATATATATATATATACATATTTAAATACATATAAAATATATATTCATATATATATATTAATATATTTATATATATATTGATATATATATATATATATATATAATTATATATATATATGGATATATGTATGTGTATATATATATATATATATATATATATATATATATATATATATATATATTTATATATATTTATATATATGTATATATACATTTTGATATATATGTATATACTTTTATTTATATAAATATCTATATATATATATATATATATATATATATATATATATATGTATTTTATATATATTTCTAAATATCTATATATATAAACATGTATGTGTATTCATATATATATATATATATATATATATATATATATATATATATATATACATACAAATATATGTACTTATATATATTTCTAAATACCTATATATCCCAATGACGCTGGGCACACAAAAGAAAAAAAAAAAACTTTACGCTCGGTGTCACCTGGCACCAAGGGATATATAAACATTTATATATATATATATATGTATATATATATATATATGTCTATTTATATATATCTATATATATATATGTATCTATACATATATATATATATATATATATATATATATATATATATATATATATTCATATATATATATATATATATAAATATTCATATCTATATATATATACATGTATTAATAATATATATATACAATTATATATATCTATTTATATAAATTTATGTACATATATATATATTTATACATATATATACATATATAATATATATATATTTATATAAATATATATAAAAAAAATATATGTATATATATACATATATATATATTTAAATATATACATATGTATATTTATATATATACACTTATACATATATATGAATTTATATAAATATTTATATAGATATATATATACATTTATATATATATATGTATATTTATATAAATATATTTACATATATATATTTATATGTGCTTATATATTTATACATATAACTTAATATATATACAAGTAATCAGCAGAAAAAAAAAAATAAATAAATTCAGTCCATGAAATCCGGCCTTAGTTTGTTTTTGCTGGAGCCCCATCAGGGAAGAGGCCTGTTCAGAGTCAGTCAGGCGTCATCGGAGCATTTATCCCAAGAGCTGTAATCTAACAGCTAAAAAACGGCAATTAAA